CGCTGAGGGACACGGAGCACTGAGGACACGGGGCACTGAGGACACGGGCACTGAGGAACACGGGGGCGCTGAGGGACACGGGCACTGAGGACACGGGGGCACTGAGGACACGGGGCACTGAGGACACGGGGCGCTGAGGGACACGGGGCGCTGAGGGACACGGGGCGCTGAGGACACGGGGGCACTGAGGACACGGGGGCACTGAGCGCGCGGGGCCTCTGGGTCGTTTCAGATCCTGACGGGCGCAGCGGACGCGGAGGCAGCGCCCGTGGAGAGGCGGTGCGGGCCGCGGAGCCGGGCGCGGGGACGGCCTCGGACGGGGCGCTCGGCCCGGACGGGGCGCTCGGCCCGGGCGGGGCGGCCGGGTGCGGCCCGCTCATCGGCCCGCGGGGCACCTACCTGGGCGGGAAGCCCCACGAGTGCCCGCAGTGCGGCAAGGCCTTCAGCCGGAAGTCCCACCTCCTCACGCACGGGCGCACGCACACCGGGGAGAAGCACTACCGCTGCGAGCAGTGCGGGAAGAGCTTCAGCGACGGCTCCAACTTCAGCCGGCACCAGACGACGCACACCGGGGAGCGGCCCTACCGCTGCCGGGACTGCGGCCGCAGCTTCAGCCGCAGCGCCAACCTCGTCACGCACCGGCGCACGCACACCGGCGAGAAGCCCTTCCGCTGCGCCGAGTGCGGGAAGCGCTTCAGCCGCGGCCCCAACCTGGCGGCGCACCGGCGCACGCACACCGGCGAGAAGCCCTACGCCTGCCCCGAGTGCGGGAAGGGCTTCGGCAACCGCTCCAGCCTCCACACGCACCGGGGCATCCACACCGGCGAGAAGCCGTACGCGTGCAAGGAGTGCGGGGAGGCCTTCAGCTACAACTCCAACCTCATCCGGCACCAGCGCGTGCACACCGGCGAGAGGCCCTACCGCTGCGCCGACTGCGGCCAGCGCTTCAGCCAGAGCTCGGCGCTCGTCACGCACCGCAGGACGCACACCGGCGAGCGGCCCTACCAGTGCGGCGAGTGCGGCAAGAGCTTCAGCCGCAGCTCCAACCTGGCCACGCACCGGCGCACGCACCTGGCCGAGAAGCCCTACAAGTGCGGGGTGTGCGCCAAGAGCTTCAGCCAGAGCTCCAGCCTGATCGCGCACCAGGGCGTGCACACCGGCGAGAAGCCCTACGAGTGCCCGGCGTGCGGCGAGAGCTTCAGCTGGAGCTCCAACCTCACCAAGCACCAGCGCACGCACACCGGCGAGCGGCCCCACCGGTGCGCCCAGTGCGGGAAGGGCTTCGGCCAGCGCTCGCAGCTGCTGGCGCACCAGCGCACGCACACCGGCGAGCGGCCCCACCGGTGCGCCCAGTGCGGGAAGGGCTTCAGCCGCGGCTCCGTCCTGCTCATGCACCAGCGGGCGCACCTGGGCCACAAGCCCTACCGCTGCCCCGAGTGCGGGAAGGGCTTCAGCTGGAACTCGGTGCTCATCATCCACCAGCGGACCCACACGGGCGAGAGGCCCTACCGCTGCCCCGAGTGCGGCAAGGGCTTCAGCAACAGCTCCAACTTCATCACGCACCGCAGAACTCACGTGCGGGACAAGCCGCGCTGAGGCAGGGGCCGCGAGGTCCGGACGTGGTCGTTTTCTGGTTACAGCTTGTGACTGGCTTGGCCATCCTCCTCCTCACTGCTCCATGCCTCAGTGGCAAAATGGGGGGAAGCCTGTTACCTCAACTGAGCTGTCAGAAAAGCGAGATGTCTTGGGGCTCTGGTGCTTCTGCTGCCCCTTTGTGAGGCGAAGCTGCCAGCACCCAGGGCCGCCTGCCCGGGGCAGAGCCCGCTTCTTCCTTGGGCTTTGATTGGCCTCAGCTCAGACCCGGTGGGCCTCCGGTCTGTCATCCACAGAAAGGCAAAGCTCTTGTCCATTTCCACGGGAGTCAGGTACAGAGCACCGGAAGTGTCTTCCAGGTGCAAACTGCGATTTATGCCCTTCATTTGTGTCTCTTGTTCTGTGGGGAGCTCATCACCGGGAGCACACTTGTGCTGCTTTGTGTTCGGAGTGTGGGGTCTGCACCCCAAGTGCCTAAACATGGTGCGGGGTGGTTTGTCTCATCCAGAGTGAGCCAGCCTGCATGCTGAGCTCTTGTGTTCTCCTTGTTCTGTTTATTTTCTAAATGCAGCACTGCAATCCTGTCCAGTAGCTTTTGTACCCTAAGAACATTGTTTTTAAGAAAATGTCAGTTTTGAGAACATTAAAATCCCTGGAGAACTTTGGGCTTGAACCAGGAGTTGGTCCTGAGCTTCACAGTGGGTCTGGTTCTTGGGATGCTGAGCCTTGGCTCAGCGAAGACAGGCAGCAGGTGAAGGCGTGGGGTGAGGAGCAGGAGAGGAGCCGAGGTGTTTCTGGGAACTGTGAAGCTGCCTCCTCCTACACATGGGGTCTATGTAGTACAGGACTTGTTCTTAGGATAGATGCTGAATACTACTTACTAGAGTCCCATTCTTTTCCTGAGCTTGTCTGCTATGTGGCCCAGTCTGGCCTTGAACTTGTGGCCATCTTGCTTCAGCTTCCTGAGGGCTGGGATTACAGATGTATGCCACTATGACTCACTAGCTTTGAATCAGCCTTCTAAATGTGTTAAAAACCCCAACTACAGCAGGTGCCAGTGGCTCACGCCTGTCATCCTAGCTACTCAGGAGGCTGAGATCTGAGGATCACGGCTCAAAGCCAGCCCAGGCAGGAAAGCCCAGGAGACTTTTTTTTGGTCGGTGTGGGGCCTGAACTCGGCCTGGGCGCTGTCCTTCAGCTCTTCAGTTCAAAGCTAGCGTTCTACCATTTGAGCCACAGAGCCACTTCCGGCCTTTTCTGTTTATGTGGTGCTGAGGGACCGAACCCAGAGCCTCATGCATGCAAGGCAAGCACTCTACCACTAAGCCACCTTCCCAGCCCCCCATGAGACTCTTTATCTACAATTAACCACCAGAAAACCAGAAGTGGCACGGTGGCTCAAGTGGTAGAGCACTTGAGCTGAAGAGTTGAGGGACAGTGCCCAGGCCCAGAGTTCAAGGCCCACAACCAAAAAAAAAAAAAAAAAAAAAAAAAAAAAAAATGTGGTTATACAAAGTAGTTTCAGGGGCTGGGAAGTTGGCTCAGTGGTAAAAGCGCTTGCCTTGCATGCCTGAGGCCCTGGGTTCGATTCTCAGCACCACATAAGCAAAAAGCCGGAAGTGGCGCAGTGGCTCAAGTGGTAGAGCGCTAGCCTTGAGCTGAAGAGCTGAGGGACAGTGCCCGGCCACGACCGGACCCAAAAAAAAAAAAAAAAAAACAAAGTAGTTTCAATTGGACATATCAGTTTGTGAGTCTAATGCATATGCCTGTTTTTTAGTTACAGGCTACACAAACATGGATACATAGTTACAGATTAGGGCTTCTTCTTATTGTTCTAGTATTTTGTGTGTGTGTGTGTAGACAACCAATCTAAGGCTTGATCTCAGGGCTCCTCACCCAGTGGGAGACCATGTGCAGGCTGGGGTTGCCCCACATTCTGACTGCTAGGGCTCGGTAGACCAAGGGTCTGGGAGATGAGAAGACAGCTGCCCCATTCCAAGCACTTAATTTGTGCTGGATACTCAGAATCTCCTACAACTCTCCAGAAATCTACTAACCTAAAACAGCAGTCTGCACATAATCATACCTGATTAGGTTTGTAAAGTGTGATTAATAAGGCCTCTTAAAAAAAAACCTTTTTCCCTCTTTGACATGAAAGTTATTTTGCCTTTTGCTTAGAAGCAAAACTCATGAAAATCAAACTACCGAAAACTACAAATTACATTAATGGACACTTAAGTAAAATGAAACTGAGTAGGGTGCATCCGCCCCCAGCACCTTTTCATTTCGTAAATATTGGATCATTCATATTTTCTACTTAAACTTTTCATTTCCAAATTAGCACATAAATGTACAATTTGTGCACTATTCCCATAATCCTGTTGTTGTTTTTTTGGGGTCCAGTCGTGGGGCCTGAACTCTGGGCCTGGGCACTGTCCCTCAGCTCTTCAGCTCAAGGCTAGCCCTCTACCACTTGAGCCACAGCACCACTTCCGGTTTTTTTCTTTTTGCTTATGTGGTGCTGAGGAATGGAACCCAGGGCCTCAAGCATGCAAGGCACGCGCTCTACCACTGAGCCATCTTCCCAGCCCCCCATAATCCTGTTTTGTTGTTCTCTATGGCAACTTCCTACAGTTGCTGTTCCCTCAGTAATCTACCTCATCCTGGCCTAGGCCATGACTGATGTTTTTCAGCAAAGCAGCTTTTAAATTTGCGCATCAACTCTACTTTCTAAATTACTTGCTCTGCTTTTTCCTGGTGACTACCACAGCTTAGCTGGTGGGATGCTTGCAGTCACCTCTCTGGGGAAAACCCAGAGCGCTGCATTGTAGCACAAGCCACTTTCTGAGAGGCGAGTCCTCCCACGCAGCCACTGGCTTGCCATCCACACAGCGCGTGAAGAGCTCTGTATCAGGGGCCCTCGTCAGAGGAGGCTTTTTTTTTTTCTTTTCAGGTTTATTGGCCCTCATACACTTTTTTTTCTTTTTTGGGGGTGGGGGGAGGGGTCCAGTCGTGGGGCCTGAACTCTGGGCCTGGGCGCCGTCCCTCAGCTCTTCAGCTCAAGGTTAGCGCTCTACCACTTGAGCCACAGCGCCACTTCTGGATTTTTTCTTATGTGGTGCTGAGGAATCGAACCCAGGGCCTCATGCATGCAAGGCAAGCGCTCTACCACTGAGCCACCTTCCCAGCCTCTCATACACTTTTTTCTCTCAAGCTCAACGATGCATTTACATTCCTAGCTCTCTGAGTCTTGCTGTGCCCCACTGCCCTTGGGAGGCAGAAGGTTGGAAGCAGGGTTCCCACACCAACAGCAGCCAGGCAGGACTGCCAGGAGCCCCGCCAACTTCTAACCCCAAGAGGTAGTTATTATTATCCTTACTTTTAAGAAAATCAGCCAGCCACAGTGATGCAAACCTGTAGGCCCAGCAACTCACAATTTGAGGTTAGCCTGGGATACTTGGGTAAGGCTTTAATTTAAAAAAAGTTAAAAAGAGAACTAAGAAAATGGAAGCCAGGGAAGCCTGGATGAGTGACAGGCGCCAGCTGGCAGCTGGGCCGGGGATCACGGGGTCCTGCACATCAAGCCCCTCCTCCAGGCGGGGCAGGCAGGCTCTCGGGTCAGCAGGGGGTGCGGGAGTCCACCCAGTCCCACACGTGCAGGGAGGCATCGCTGGCCGCTGACAGCACAGTCCTGGGCTTGCTGGGGTGCCAGGTGTGGGTGGTGACCAGTGGGGTGGGGTCCACCTCACTTCCTTCCAGGCAGATGTGGCCTCTGTGCGTGAAGACAGGCTCTGCGTGGCTCCCTGCGAGGTCCCAGCAAGTGACATCATAGACCTGGACTGTCCCATCAAAGCCTGAGGACGAGCAAAGAAAAGGCTGCCGCAGAGGTCCAGGGCACTTCCTGCCAGGGGACTGCGATGGGCCACAGACCAGGCTTGATGGGGACAGACTCAACCTGTCTGCGCGCACGCACGTGCAGCTGCCATGAGCCCCACGGCCCACCATTCCCTGCCAGGCCACGCTCGCCCTGCTGTGCCACCCTGAGCCCTCCCAGGTGCATCAGGCAGCCTCAGCCTCCCCAGGAACAAAGCCTAAGGAGCCAAGCCACGCCACACCAGACCACACCTGCCCTCTCTCTTCACTGCTCTGTGGATCCCTACGCTTCCTCCCCTGCCTTCTTGGGGCCCTTTCAGACTCTGGCTGTGCAGTGGCTTCAGGCGCCCCGCCTAGGAGCTGGGCCCTCACTTGCTCAAATACAGCACCACCCTGAGATTGTCACGTCTTTCTGGGGCCACCTCATGGCAGTTCCCTGGTCTTCCTATGCCATGGGTCTCTGCTAGGCTCACACAGTGTGTGCAAGTTTAGTGGCCAGGAGCCGAGGGCCAGGGAGATAAGCGGGAGCCGTCTGTGGGCGGCTGTAACAGAAGCCAGGTTTTCTGGTGGTGCAGCTCCTTCCTGCACCCCATCCCTCCTGAAGAGAGGTAAGCCATAGGCGCACCCCGCCCAGTAGTACCTGAGATGGCCAGACAGTTGCTCAGGCCCGGGGCCCAGGTCACTCGCAGCAGCTCCGGGTCTGGGCTGGGTGTGGGCACCGGGCACTGGACTGCGCTCACAGGGCGGCAGAGCTGCCGGGGGTCGAGAAGGCGGAGCTGTCCATCCGAGCCAAGGCTGGCGATGCGGGGCCCAGGGCCCTGGTCCCTGACTTCTGCGCACCACCTCTGTCCCCCCGACACAGGGCTGGGTCTGGGGGTCTCCACTGGTGCCCACTTCTGGCGGGTATCCACCAGCCCCAGACGGCCAGAGGCACTGCAGAAAGCAAAGGTGTCAGCGTCCAGGGCCTGCAGGCAGCTCAGCTCCTCACAGTCTTCAACCCCTGGAAGGCCACAGCAAAGAGACAAGCTGCAGGGTGCTGACGACACCCCGTGCCTCCCAGCTCACACTCATCACCAGGCATGCCTATCCAGGTGGGTGCTCTAGGGCGGCCCCTCCACCCCCAGGCACCAGCACCCGCTTCCCAGCGTCTCCACAGAAACCTCAAGTAAATTCCAAACGCCAGGGCCGGGTGGCAGAGGAGCCAGTGCAGGTGCTGACCTCCACAGACCTGTGCTGTTACCTGAGCAGTACCCTCACAGTTCCCAGACAGTACCTGAGCAGTACCCTCGCAGCTCCCAGGCAGTACCTGAACAGTACGTGGTCTTGTGGGATTCCAGGTCTACGATCTTCAGGCCACTGAGCCGCACCCCGTGGAGGATGCCGGGTGCCACTGAGGGGAGGACAGCCAACCTCGGCCAGAGATTCCCCTCCCCCTCAGCCACAGCAATGGTGCTGACGGCTGCAAGGACATCTGGGGAAAGGGAAGAGGCTGAGATCTGGAGTTCGTGAGGACCCACCTTAGCGGTGAGGCCCAGGGCACAGAGGCCAAGGATGGAGGCTGACAGCAGGTGGAGGACATTTTGGAAACTGTCCAGATCACTGCCATTTCTTTATCATTTTATTTTTTTTTTGGTTGGTCATGGGACTTAAACTCTGGGCCTGGGTGCTGTCTCTCAGCTCAAGGCTAGTGCTCTACCACTTGAACCACAGCACCACTTCCAGTTTTCTGAATGGTTTATTAGAGATGAGTCTCATGGCCTTTCCTGCCCGAGCTGGCTTTGAACCATGATCTTCAGATCTCAGCCTCCTGAGTAGCTAGGATGACAGGCGTGAGCCATTGGCTCCCAGCTTATCATTTGTTTTATGAGCTGTTTTTGCACACACAGCTCAGAACTCAACAAGCAGGCCTGGTATTTTCTTGATGGATAACAGGAAAAGGGTGAACGACACCAGGATGTCACTTTCACCCTTTGTGAAAAATAACAGGAACAGACTCAGGAGTGATTATTGCGCCTTCAAACATGTGCCTCCAGCGATGTGCTGGAGTCTGGCAGTGGAGGGCGCACTGTGAGGGCGTGGGGCCCAGGCCACGGACTGCAGTGTAAGTTGGGGATGAGAGCGGCCTCATTTTTTGCATACCAGGAACAAACCCAGGCTCGGCTGAGTGGAATCGGCTTGGGTCTGACTTTGCCTCAGCCTGCTCAGCACCAATGACTTAAAGGGAAATTCTGATTTTCATTTTCCATTTCTTTGTTTTCAACAGATTAGCCCTGTACTGACATACTCACAAAATCAGGTTTCTCAGACACCAGGGCTATGGAAAATTCATCAAGAAAACACTGTCCGTGGAAGTGGCACTGAAGCTCAAGTGGTAGATTGCTAGCTCGCCTTGAGCTGAAGAGCTGAGGGACAGCGCCCAGGCCCAGAGTTCAACCCCACAACTGACAAAAAAAAAAGAAAGAAAGAAAACACTGTCCATTTTGGCTCCTAGAAAAAGCTGGCAGGCCTTCTCTCAGCTCTGGAGCATTTTTCGCTGATATCCGGAGGAACGTGACAGATGACGCTACCTGACTTTCTGCATGTTGTGTCAGAGGAAGCTCTTCCTACTCTGCCCCCAGACTCCCAGCTTAAGTCCCAGGCTCCACTGCAAGCCCTGACACCTGAGATCAAATGGTTGCCAAGACTCATTCCTCTTTCATGGCCATTCCTTGCTGCCCCTCCCTGCCTTTTTTTGGGGAAAAGAAAACAGTAACTCTAACTTACTGGTATAGGGTAGAGTTATAGATCAATGGAATGGGTCTGGGTCTAGGGCTAAATAAACCCTTATATTTATGATCAGCTGATCTTCAGACAAGATGCCAAACCAAGAAAGAAAGGATGAATTTCTCAGAAAATGCTGACTGGACAACTGGACATGGACCCTCCTGCTCCACACAAAAATTAACATTCGAACTATAAACCCCTTAGAACTATGACAAAACTTTGGAAACTAGAGGTGTGGCTCAAGTGGTAGACCACTAGCCAAGCAAACAAACAACACAACAAAAAAATGAGCGGAGGGCTGGGAAGGTGGCTCAGTGGTAGAGCGCTTGCCTTGCAGCATGAGGCCCTGGGTTCGATTCCTCAGCACCACATAAGCAAAAAAGAAAAAAGCCACAAGTGGCACTGTGGCTCAAGTGGTAGAGCGCTAGCCTTGAGCTGAAGAGCTGAGGGACAGCGCCCAGGCCCAGAGTTCAGGCCCCATGACTGGACCCAAAAACAAACAAACAAAAAAATGAGCACGGACAGGCGGTTCTTGCCTGTAATTTCGGGTATGGGGAAGGTGGAGGTAGACCTGTTAGTCAGTACTGGCCTCTGGCAAAAGCACAAGACCCTATCTGAAAAAATAAAGTAAAAAGGCCTGGGAATGTGGCTCAAGTGGTAGAGAGCCTATCTAGCAAGGATGAGGTCCTGAGTTGAAATCCAATATAGCCAAAAACAAAACAAAAAAAATACTCTGATAAGATTGTTAAAAACACCCGCCACAACTACAAGGGATGCCAACGACCGGAAACTAGAGGGCAGGACAGTGAGGAAGCGCAGCAAGTCCAGAGACCTCAGCAAACAAGGTGCAAGGAACAGAACTGCCTTTGGTGTGACGCCTGGGCAAGGCCGGTGGGAAACTGAGCCAGCAGCAGGGCAGCCTCTGCCCAGCCCTGCCCAGTGGACGGGCCTACAGTTCCCATTGCTTAGCCCCAGCCAGGTTGGAAAACTCCACTTTATACGGGCTCTTGCCCCCTTTTGCCACCTCTGGCTCTGAGTGCTGCTCAGAACAGGCACACAAGGTAAGCCACACCCTTCCACAAGCCTCTGCCTCGCCACGTGGAGTCACTCACCGCTGTCCTGTGCAGCCTGCCACACCTGCACGTGGCCTCCAGGACGGCCACTGGTCACCAGCAACCTATGCCAGACAGACAGGAAGTGTTAAGCCCACTCCCACCGCCTAGCAGGAGCCCAGAAGGAAATCCCACTGCAGGACCATCAGCCATCATTCCACAGAGCACAGGCTTGCCCTGCGGGGGTCAGCTCCACTGCTCGTCGAGAGCCACGGGGGTGATCCGGGCCAACCCAGGTCCTGATGGTCACCCAGAAGATGACACTGGTGAGGGTCAAGCCTGTAATCCAGCCCCAGAGGCACAGCTGCCCCTACTACCCGGTCAGCTTGCAGGGAAGTGAAGAGCGGCCTTCTCACTGGTTTTTAGTCCCTGAAGCAACCCCAGTGACCCCAAAACAGCCCAAGGCCTTTGTATTGTGAATACGTCTGTGTTCTGGGGGTCGGTGCTGATAAAGAGGCCCCCCACTGCGCCCAGAACGGAAGGTGTGGGGCACAGAACTTCCTTACCTGGTGTCTGGCACGTGCTTCAGCGCTAAGATAGACCTGTCAGAAAATCCTCCGTGGCGCACTGTGAAATCCCTTTCTGGGCATAAGCCCTAGGATGCAAAGGGAAGCGGCAGCAATTAGACAGAGCATGCTGTTCAAGGAACAGTCCAGGAGCTCCAGGGAAGAAGCAGACCTTGGCCTGGCAGAGGCCATGGCCTTCCCGTGACAGCTGACCTCCCCTCCCCACCTCAGGCCTTCAGCAGTCCTCCAGCACCCCAGCCGCCTGGGGGAGCCACAGAGCTTCAGGGTCACCCAGGAACGCCAGGGCCAGCGGCCCACTAAGGCTTCCCATCTCTTCTTCTGCGCCGGAAGCCAGCGGGCACAGCTGGCACCACCCGCCAAGCGCCTGCTGCCCTGTGCTAGGCTCTACATTTGATTCTCATGACCCCTATGGCGCAGGTACCGCCATTATCCACACAACAAGGCCCAGCTGCTGAAGCTCCACCTCTACGGCCACACAGGAATGAAGTTGTGAGCCAGACAGAGCCTCGTCTGCCAGTCTTGCCACAGCTGACATCTGTGTCAAGATCAGGAATGGGGAAAGGAGGTGGCCAAAGTGAAAAGGAGAAAAGCCTGCAGTGAGCGGGAAGGAAATGGGGTTTCCTAAAGGCTCAGCTGGGAAGCACCTGACTCAGCGTGAGATGGAGCTAGTGCTGGTGAAGAGCGCTGGGCAGAGCACTGGGCAGGCAAGCGAGGCAAAGCTGCCCACAGGTGTAAGTGGGAGGCCCTGGCCTGCCTGCTGTCCCTCACCCCTGCATTCCCTCTCTCCCGCCACCCTCCCTCAGACTCATGTTTCGCCTTCTCCCTCTTTGGGGCTACTGCTTCACAGCCAGTACTTGTGCTCAAGCCTCTGGTCTCAGAAACCCTGACTTAAATCTGTGTTCCCACAGCAGGTTCTGCTCTGGTTTCTCCCTTCCCTATCCCTATATTTTCACTTCCTTTCCCTCTCTGTCTTTGCCCTTGACCACCATTAGCAAAATGTGGTGACCTCAGTGAAAGACATTACCAAGAGTTTCCCGATTACCAAACTAACGAGTAAACTCTCCACTCCTCCTCCAAGTGACTCTGCTGCAGGTCTGCACGTACAAAAACACCTCATAAAACAAATTATAAAGAAATGAGGGACTGGGAAGGTGGCTCAGTGGTAGAGCGCTTGCCTTGCATGCATGAGGCCCTGGGTTTGCTTCCTCAGCACCACATAAGCAAAAAGAAAAAAAAGCCGGAAGTGGTGCTGTGGCTCAAGTGGTAGAGCACTAGCCTTGAGCTGAAGAGCTGAGGGACAGCGCCCAGGCCCAGAGTTCAAGCCCCACAACCCACCAAAAAAAAAAAAAAGACTACTGCAACCTAACTTAGCTACCAACTCTTTTCTTCTTGACACACTTATTCTCTTCTGTTGTCTTCTTTTCCTGGACTCCTCCTACTTGGTCTTTCTTAGTGTTCCTCCTGGGTTCACCTTCCTGTACTCTTAATATGTCCCTGAGACTCTGCCCTTAGCTGTCTTCTCTGAATCCTAGTGTAGCTTTGTTCTAGGTGACCTTCTGTGCCCTCTGTTCCCTAGTGCCCGCACACCACTGTGCAGATGCGCCTCCCCGTGCCCGGCGCCCGTCTGTCTTTCTAGCAACCAGGGAGGTGACAGGAGGCCTGCTCACACCAGACGGCGCACCCGCAGGCCCATCCCCAGTCACCGGGTTCTCCGTCACAGACAGTCTGGGCGGCAGGAGCAGATGGAGAATCTCATTCTTTTTCTGGCTCTCGTAGCCGGCCACCAACACTCCTGGGGAGGGCGGGCGGGAAGAGCGGCGGGACCGTTAGGAAGGCGGCCACGCGCAGCCCGCGTCCGGGGCGGGGGGCACCGTGAGCCGCACCCCCGAGGGCCCGGTACCTTTGTCCCCAGCCCACTCCAGGACTCGCGTGGCTCCCGAGAGCGCGAAGGCGTGGAAATCCCGGTACCTGCGGGGCACACGGCGGTCACGCGGCGCGGGGGCGGCCGGCCCGGCACTCCACTCGGTGTGTCGGGGTCCCGGCCCGGCGCGGCCCCGGGACTGCGCACGGCCCACCGCGGGGACTGCGCGGACGCCGGTGAGGGCCGAGGCCGGCGGCGACGCGGCCTTCCTTCCCGAGAGCGGGCCCCGGCCGCGCCCCGCCCCCCGCCCCCCGCCCCCCCGGGCCGGGCTCCGGCCCCCAGGCCCAACCACTCACAAGCGCAAGGATTCCACGAGCCAGTCCTCCGCGGGCTCCATGGCAACCGCCGCTTCCGGTCCTCCACTTCCGGGGAGCGTGCGGCCCGCTCCCGACGGGTGGGCGTGGCCTGTAGGTCACGACGGCTGGGCGTGGCTCCGGACTGTGGATGGGTGGGCGTGGCCTCCGGGCTCCGGGGCGTGGCCTCCAGCCGGGGCGGAACCTACCGCCCGGGTTCCCACGCCGCTCCCGCCCTGCGGGGCGCTCCGAGCCGAGGTCCCGGGAAAAGTGACTAAACCCGGGGTCAGCTCAAGCGGGGCCCGGAGGTCAGACTTGAGGGCCGAGCGTTTGCAGCCCTGAAGCCAGAGCGCGCAGAGCGGCTGATCGCAGGGATAAAGCTGCGCAGCCTTCGCCCGCCAACCCTGGAAGAGCAGGCGGCCAGGAGGGGTCCCGTGTGCCCGGCCGCGCGTGGCCTCCCTTCCACAAGGGCCCGGGGCAGTGTGCCGTGTGCTGTGTGAGCTGGGGTGCTGCGCAGTGTGCACGCGCATGCCGTGTGCTGTGTGAGCTGGGGTGCTGCGCAGTGTGCACGCGCATGCCGTGTGCTGTGTGAGCTGGGGTGCAGCTCAGTGTGCACGCGCATGCCGTGTGCTGTGTGAGCTGGGGTGCTGCGCAGTGTGCACGCGCATGCCGTGTGCTGTGTGAGCTGGGGTGCAGCGCAGTGTGCACGCGCATGCCGTGTGCTGTGTGAGCTGGGGTGCAGCGCAGTGTGCACACATATGCTGTGCTGTGAGCTGGGGTCCCGTGTGCCCGGCCGCGCGTGGCCTCCCCTCCACAAGGGCCCAGGGCAGTGACGCGAGTGCTAGCCCCGCAGTGCAGTGCGTGTATCTGTGTGCGGTGCGTGTGCCGTGTGCCGTGTGAGCTGGGGTGCTGTGTGTGTGCACGCACATGCCGTGTGCTCTGTGAGCTGGGGTGGTGTGTGTGCACACGTGCCATGTGCTCTGTGAGCTGGGGTGGTGTGTGTGTGTGTGTGTGCACATGCCATATGCTGTGAGCTGGGGTGGTGTGTGTGTGTGTGCGTGTGCGCGTGCCGTGCACTGTGAGCTGGGGTGGTGTGTGTGTGTGTGTGCGCGTGCCGTGCACTGTGAGCTGGGGTGGTGTGTGTGTGTGTGCGTGTGCGCGTGCCGTGCACTGTGAGCTGGGGTGGTGTGTGTGTGTGTGTGCGTGTGCGCGTGCCGTGCGCTGTGAGCTGGGGTGGTGTGTGTGTGTGCATGTGCGCGTGCCGTGCGCTGTGAGCTGGGGTGGTGTGTGTGTGTGTGCGTGTGCGCGTGCCGTGCGCTGTGAGCTGGGGTGGTGTGTGTGTGTGCGCGTGCCGTGCGCTCTGTGAGCTGGGGTGGTGTGTGTGTGCGCGTGCCGTGCGCTCTGTGAGCTGGGGTGGTGTGTGCGTGTGCGCGTGCCGTGCGCTGTGAGCTGGGGTGGTGTGTGTGTGTGCATGTGCGCGGGCCGTGCGCTCTGTGAGCTGGGGTGGTGTGTGTGTGTGCGCGTGCCGTGCGCTCTGTGAGCTGGGGTGGTGTGTGCGTGTGCGCGTGCCGTGCGCTGTGAGCTGGGGTGGTGTGTGTGTGTGCATGTGCGCGTGCCGTGCGCTGTGAGCTGGGGTGGTGTGTGTGTGTGTGTGCCATGTGCTGTGTGACCAGGGTGCAATGCAGCGTGTGCACATGTGTTGTGTGCTCTGTATGAGCTGGGGTGCAGTGCAGTGTGTGTGCTGTGTGACCGGGGTGCAATGCAGCGTGTGCACATGTGTTGTGTGCTCTGTATGAGCTGGGGTGCAGTGTGTGTGCTGTGTGAGCTGAGGTGTAGTGAGAGTAGTGCTGTGTGTGTGCTGTGTGTGTGCTCTGTGTGCGCTGGGGTGCAGTAGGTGTAGCGCAACCTGTGTGTGCGCTGGGGTGCTGTGTGTGTGAGCTATGTGCTGTGTGTGTGCTCCGCGTGTGCTGGGGTGGCGTAGGTGTAGCGCAGCCTGTGTGTGTGTGCTGTGTGTGTGCTCCGCGTGTGCTGGGGTGCCGTAGGTGTAGCGCAGCTTGTGTGTGTGAGCTATGTGCTGTGTGTGTGCTCCGCGTGTGCTGGGGTGCCGTAGGTGTAGCGCAGCCTGTGTGTGTGAGCTGTGTGTGTGTGTGTGTGCTCTGTGTGCGCTGGGGTGGCGTAGGTGTAGCGCAACCTGTGTGTGCGCTGGGGTGCTGTGTGTGTGCGCTGGGGTGGCGTAGGTGCACGGCAGCCTGAGTGTGCGCTGTGTGCTGTGTACATGTGCTGTGTGCGTGCTCCACGTGTGCTGGGGAGCCGTAGGTGTAGCGCAGCCTGTGTGTGTGTGTGTGCTGTGTGCGTGTGCTGGGGTGGCGTAGGTGTAGCGCAGCCTGTGTGTGTGTGTGTGTGTGTGCTGTGTGCGTGCTCTGCATGTGCTGGGGTGGCGTAGGTGTAGCGCAGCCTGTGTGTGTGTGTGTGCGTGTGCTGTGTGCGTGCTCTGCGTGTGCTGGGGTGGCGTAGGTGTAGCGCAGCCTGTGTGTGTGTGTGTGTGTGCGTGTGCTGTGTGCTGGGGTGGTGTAGGTGTAGCGCAGCCTGTGTGTGTGTGTGTGTGTGTGTGTGCTGTGTGCGTGCTCTGCGTGTGCTGGGGTGGTGTAGGTGTAGTGCAGCCTGTGTGTGTGTGTGTGCTGTGTGCGTGCTCTGCGTGTGCTGTGTGCGTGCTCTGCGTGTGCTGTGTGCGTGCTCTGCGTGTGCTGGGGTGGCGTAGGTGTAGTGCAGCCTGTGTGTGTGAGCTGTGTGCGTGCTCTGTGTGAGCTGTGTGCTGTGTGCGTGCTCTGCGTGCGCTGGGGTGGCGTAGGTGTAGTGCAGCCTGTGTGTGTGTGCTGTGTGTGTGCTCCGTGTGTGCTGGGGTGGCGTAGGTGTAGCGGTGTTGTGTGTGTGTGCCTGAGTGATCTGTGTGTGCTGGGGTGTAGTGCAGTGTGTGCATGAGCTGTGTGCTCCGTATGTGCCAGGGTGCTGTAGGTGCACCACAGCCTGTGTGTGTGTGCGCGCTAGGGTGGCGTAGGTGTAGCACAGCCTGTGTGTGTGTGTACGTGTGTGCACGCTGGGGTGGTGTAGATGTAGCACAGCCTGTGTGTGTGTGTGAGCTGTGTGCGTGCTCTGCGTGTGCTGGGGTGGCGTAGGTGTAGCGCAGCCTGTGTGTGTGTGTGTGCTGTGTGCGTGCTCTGCGTGTGCTGTGTGCGTGCTCTGCGTGTGCTGGGGTGGCGTAGGTGTAGCGCAGCCTGTGTGTGTGAGCTGTGTGCGTGCTCTGTGTGAGCTGTGTGCTGTGTGCGTGCTCTGCGTGTGCTGTGTGCGTGCTCTGCGTGTGCTGGGGAGCCGTAGGTGTAGCGCAGCCTGTGTGCGTGCTCTGCGTGTGCTGTGTGCGTGCTCTGCGTGTGCTGGGGAGCCGTAGTGCACCGCAGTGTGCTGTTGGCAACTCCGGGCACAGCAGGGAAACAGAGGCCGCGGGTGGCCGCGGAGCGCAGGGCGGGCGGGGAGTCCCGCCAGCGGCCGCCTTCTGGGGCCCCCAGCGCGCGCACCCCGGCCCTCCAGCACCCGCGCCGAACACACTGGGGGGACAGGGCAGGCGTGGTTCGAAGGGCGGCGTTTATTCACATCCTCAGCGGGGGCGCAGCTGCCTGCGCGCCGCGGTTCCAGCGGGCGGCGGCTCCCGGCTCAGGCCGCCGGGCCGCGGCTCCACTCGGCGGCCTCGGGGGCCCGGCGCCGCGGAGGCCGAGCCGTCGGCCCGCCGTCCCCGCTTCACTTCTGCAGCGCGTGCTCCGCCAGCCTCCTGTACGGAGGAAACACGGAGGACACTGGGCAGGGCACCGCGGGAGCGGGCGGGGGGTGGGGTGGGGGGGGGCAGCCCGGCCGGCGGCCGCGGACAGGGCGGGGCCGCGGGCTGTCCACCGGCGGCCGGGGCGGGGCCGCGGGCTGTCCACCGGCGCCCACCTCAGACGCGGGCCGGGCAGCGGACCCTCCGGCCCTCAGACGCGGGCCGGGCAGCGGGCTCTCCACCGGATGCCCTCAGACCCGGGCGGCGCAGACCTCTCCCGGCGGGTCCCGCACCCTGTCTCAGAAAGGCGCAGGAGCCGCGGCGGCTCTTTCCGGAGTGGCTTCCACCTCACGGGGGTGAGGGGTGGGGTGGAGGCGCCGGGCCGAAGCCCCCCCCCCCCCGCACCGGCAGGCGCGGGCTCCGGGGACCCTCCAGGGGTCTGAGAGCCCCGGCCCTGGAACGAGTGGACGTGGCGGCGCCGCCGCCTCCCTTCAGCCCCGGCCCGGGCAACTGAGGTGCTTCAGGGAGCCAGGGACGGGGCTGGGACGGAGCCGGGCCTGGGGACGCCCGTCCTCGGCCCTCCGGGCCAGCGGGGACGCTCGGCATGGCGAGGGGCGCAGCCCGGTCCCCGGCCGACCCGAGGGCGCAGCGCTGGCGGCGCAGGGGCGGGACCGAAGCCACCAGGGCGGGAGCCCGGAACTCAATCCCTGGTCCCATCTGAACACACGCGCGCACGCGCACACGCGCGCACGTCTGTCAGCGCCTCCACGGAGTGACCGGGAAGGGGCGGCTGAGGGCTGAGTGGCGGCCGCGTCCGGAGCCCGCTGTCCGCGCCGCGCTCGCGGGGGCCACGGCGGACAGGGGCCGCCAGCCGCCAGGCCAGGCCCTGGGCGGGCGCCTCCCCCGGGGGCGGGGTCCCCTGAGCTGCGAGGTCCGAGGTTTGGGCGCCGTGTTTGGGGTGCAGACTGCACGCAGGGCGGCCCGCTCGCTAGGCACCCCGCGCCCCGCCCCGCTCGCCGCCCTTCCCGCCACTGCGTCGGCTACTTCGGGGCGCGGTCTCCTCCTCACCCCGCTTGGCCGGGGCTACTGGATCCGCTGCGCGGGCCTGGTGTCCAATCGGAGTTCGTCAACCCGAGGTCAGGCCGCCCTGCGGCCCCGGGCCCCCGCCCCCCCATCCCCTCCCCCCCCCCCCGGCCTCCCGCCCCCCTCCTCCCCCTCCCCCCCCCCCCCCGCCTCCCGAGCGGCCCCGGCCCCCCGCGGGCTCCGGGAACCGGGCGATCTCAAGATTACTGTGGGAGAGGAGAGGCTTCCTGGAGCTGCCGGGCCGACGCCCGAGCCCCGTACCGCACCGCACCGAGCAGCCTGCGGTGTCCGGAGGCGCCCAGGCGGCGGTGGGGGGGGGCTCTGCTTAGAGCGGGGCGCGGGGCGCGGGGCGGGGCGCGGGGCGCGGGCGGCCCCGGCGTGGCTCTGAGGCCGGCCCGGGGCGCGGGGCCGGGGTCCGCTTACCTGGGCGCGGGGCGCAGCGAGGCTCGCGCCCGGGGCTCTCCTCAGCAAGAGTCGGTACAGCTCGAGGCGCGGCAGCCCCGGGCCCCCCGCGGACGCCGCGGGCCCCGCAGGCTCCAGACTCTTCTTGCCCATGAAGTGGCCTGGAAAGGAGGCGGCCGCGGGGTGAGCGCCGCCCGGCTCGGGAAGGACGGCGCTGGCCCCGAACCGGGGCGCGGCCGGGCGGAGGCCGGGCGGCAGGTGGGGGAAGAGGGTCTGGTCGGGGCAGGGCGAGGGCCCCACGGGCGGCTCCCACGGGCGGCTCCCGGAGGCCAGCTCCCCACGGATGGCTCCCACGGGCGGCTCCCACGGGCGGCTCCCGGAGGCCAGCTCCCCACGGGCGGCTCCCAGGGGCGGCTCCCCACGGGCGGCTCCAGGGCTGGCCGGGCCCCCACTCACCGGTGGCCCAGAGGTTGCCCCGCGGGTGCACCCGGATCTTGCTGGCTCTGCCGCGGGGCTCGGGCAGGTCCCAGCCGAGCGGGGCGACGCGGGCGGCCAGCAGCGAGAGCAGCAGGAGGCGGCCGAGCAGCCGCCGGGCCATGTCGAGCTCCGCCGCGCCGGCTGCCGGTTCGCGCCGCCCGCTTTCCCGGCTTTTAAATCCGGCCCGGGGCGGGGCCTCGGGGGCGGGGCCTCTGTGGGCGTGGCAACACCGCCCCTCCCCGGTCGCCCAGACCACGCCCACTGCGCTCGGCCCCGCCACGCCCCAGGACTCCATGGCCGCCCGGCCCCGCCCTCCGCCCCCCCCCCCCCCCCCCCCCCGTGCAGGACCCGCGCTGTCAGGAGGCCTGGCCTGGCCACTGCGGCCTCCATCCCAGGAGGGGCGGCGGGCGGGGCAGCAGCCTGTCCCCCTCCCCTCCCCGTCACCCCCGCCCGGCCGCACTCACACCTCCCAGCCGTGCACCGATATAGCTCACCACCTCCGCCCAGAGCGGGGCGGGCGGGCGCGGGGCGATAAGGGTCCTCCCAACCTCCCGCTCGCCCTGGCTGCCCTGGCTGCCGGGAGCCGGTGCCACGCTTCCCGGGAGCAGCCTGGATGGGTATAGTGACACCAGCTTGAAACCCAGCTGCTGAGCATCCAGACAAAAGACCCCAGAGTTGGCGGCCAAGCCCGGCCGGAGCGCTGCGGGGCAAGCGTGGCACTGCGACCGCCGACTGAAGACAACGCACACTGCAGGTGAAAACTATCACATACATATGCAGGGATCAGCAAAACCTGCCACTTTCAACTCCTATGTTTTAGTAATAACTAATATAAAAACTGGAGGGCTGGGCAGGTGGCTCAGGCGCTTGCCTCGCATGCAGGAGGCCCTGGGTTCGATTCCTCAGCACCACATAGGCAGAAAAAGCCAGAAGTGGTGCTGTGGCTCCAGTGGTAGAGCGCTAGCCTTGAGCTGAAGAGCTGAGGGACAGCACCCAGGCCCAAAGTTCAGGCCCCACTGACAAAAAAAACAACAAAAAACGGGAAACATTATCTCTCCCCTAAAATAACCTTTTTATTTTTGGCTGCTGGAGCGATTCAAATGTTTTTAAATGTTTTAGTTGCCTTTTCAGAGAAATTTTAGCTGTTGCTTGCAACAGAAGCACCTGATAAAGGAGAGAAAAAAAAAAGGAATACTTTCACAGAGTTAAGTGCAAGGGTGTTTACACTCAGGGAGGTGAGGCTCAGAGGTGTGTCTGAGTTCAACTTTGAGCAGCAATGGAGGCTGGCACAAAAGCCAAGCTATGGCACCATGACCACCACCAACAACAAAAAAACAGAAAACAATCACAAAGGGTTGAGAGGTAGCGTGCTTATCTGGCATGCACAGAACCCTAGACTAATGAAATCAAGCAGAGCCCACACACATCAGTTAGCCCCGTTCTGTGAAGGCAACTTGGAGGAGAGAAGGGACAGGCACTGTCCGCCGGTTGCACAGGGACCGTGTCTGCGCTTCCGGGGCATGAGAAAACCTAAGTACCCTGTGAGCCCAGAGACTGGTTCAGAAGAGCATCTACTAGTGATTTGCGGGCTTCCTCCTCTGTGGAGAACATCAGGCACCCACGCACACCCAGCGGCGAGGGCTGGCTAGGAGGATTTGAGGCGGCACTGCTCCACCTGCGATTCCTTGGGCGGGCTGCACTAGGACTGACTTCCTCCACAGTACCTGAGGCCCAGCTTGGGAAGTCTGCATCCTGACACACTGCGCAGCAAGACCAGACAAAACTAAAGTGTACTCTGTGCTTCATACACACCGGCTTATCATGCATCCATTTCTTTGGAGCCTGTGGAAACACAGGTGTGTTCTGCTTCTAAGCGAAGCAGACCCTCAGGACAAGTTTCCTGACAAGGAGAAAGCAGGCTGTGCCCTTGGGCGCCTCCCCCCTACCCCCGCCACACACCTCTTACCGGCTGGCCGTGTGGAGAGGGTACAAAGGGTGATGAGCACGCACAGCCACGCGACAGTCTCTCAACCTGTCAGTGACACCACTGCTTTACACGCATCTGAGTCACGCACTGCTAAGAAGCAATTTTATGACTAAGAGATTTCCTATGAATGTCAATGGCTCCTTCTGCTTCACAAAAGCAAAACGGAACAAAGGAGGCTACAAACAAGGCCCTGACTGGGGGTGGGGGGTGCTGTTTTCAAAGCCTCACTCCAGGGGAGGCAGCGCGGCCGGAGGCAGCCTCTGGGAGCTTCCCCAACAAACACAAGGCAGGGATAGGGGTTAAATGTGCAAAGTCTTTTATTTGAAATTGGAAAAGTTAAGACTTGGCGCCGCCCTCATGGACGCGCGTGGCAGCGCGGGGCAGTCGTCCACTCTGCAGAGCTGCACTTTCGTGTGCAGCACGCTGAGGCACTTTAGAAGTGAAGCTGGGCTTCGCAATACAAACACTGGGGGCTTTGGCTCAACCGTTTAATATAAAAAAATCCACGGATATACAAAATGTGAGTGGGGCGATGACAAGGTGTGAAGTCCCATGACTGGACGTCCCCTCGCGGGCACACGTGGCACCCACGTGCCCGCCCACACGCATTCTGGCGTGGAAACATAAACTAATAACGCGCACGGTGCTCCAAGAAGCACCCCGTGTGCTCCTCTCCACCAACCACAGACCAACATCTACTGCAGACAGCCAGGACACAGCACGCGGCTTCCCAGAACAGAACGGCGAGGCTCGCTTCTTACTCACGGTGGACCAGCACGAATAAGCCCAGCAAAAACAGTACTGCGTACTAGAAAACAAAACACAGAAGCACAGGTCAGAAACTACCCAGCTATCCGACATTCTTTCCCGCTTTCGCTGCCCTCTGGAGGATCTCCAGCTCCTCTCTGGGGCATGGACAGGGCGTCGTCCCGGCCAGTCTTCTGTCTCTCACCAAACCTGACCTTCCGCCGTGGCTATTTCACTTCTTTCTTTCTTGAGGGGGGCAGCGCTGGGAATGGAACCCCAGATTTCATTCACGCAAGGGAAGTGCTCTACCACCAACCCCAGCTCTCCTTCCTTCTGAATGAAATGCAGCTGGTGCTCACCTTGAATTTGGGGTAGTCGTTCATGAGGATTGTCACAATTCCAATATAAGGAACAAATCTAAAACAAACAAGACACTGTCCATCAGAACTGCTCCCAGGAGAGCACCACCGCAGGCGCGGGGCAAATCTGCTTCAACACATTTTACCAAGCAAATCTGCTTGTGTCCATTGTGGAATCTGCCCTTTTCTGCGGCCGTGGTAGGAAGTTAGGCCTGTTGCGGTTTTGCAGATGAGGAAATGGACAGCCAGGTCCTGGGTGCTTGTTTCTGTGGCAAGGCCCAGCACCAGGTACAGCCTTCAATCACACGACCAATGGCATCCGCTGACCAAGTTCCAGGGGCTAGCCATGGCCTCAGAGCCTTTGAGTGGAAGACATCCCCACCCCCTGCCAGCTCCTGTAACCCTGACGCAGCGCCCATCCCTGCAGTGCCCACTGGGACCACACTCGCCCCTCCTGGGCCTCTGCTTCCCCGCCTAGCTACGTGGTGGTGAGGCTGTTTCACCTGCCGATAATCTGACAGGGCCTGTGACGTTCATTTGAGGTCTATCACAGTTTTAACCAACCAGCCACACTGCTCGCGATGTGGTACCTGCTTCCGGCAAGGGACCTAGATTCTATGGGGCAACCACCATGAGGACCTGTTCTCCCGGTTCCCCGGGCCACACCACAGACTTCCTGCCAATACTGGTGGAGATGCACTCTGTGGTCCTGGGAATCAAACCCAGACCTTGGCCAAGTTAGGCGCGTGCTCTACCAAGACCCAGCCCGACTGCCAGACCGGATGCCTCCACTGTCAGGGAAATCTCAGGCCTCAGACTCCTCTCTATGCCAAAGGCTCTTCAACATCGTAATCACTGAGGGCAGAACAGGGAATCTGCAAGGTAACCTTGGTGTGGGAGGAAAAGGCAGTCCTAGTTTTCTCCACTGCTAGACTCCAGAGCAAAGCTGGTGTGGAGGCTCACCCCTGCACACCTCAGAGCTGCTGCCATGCATCCCACAGGCCGCAGACACAGCAATCGCCTTGGGAGAGCTTTCAGAGCACAGCGCCGCTGCTTCCTTTCCCCCACCCCCACTCCCCGGCTGCGGTCCTCACCTTCTCTCCCTGCTCCCCAACTCCCTCCACACATGCTGGTGCTTCTTAAAACTTAGACCTCCGGAGACATCCTCATTTGGATAGCTCGTAAGGCATGTTCTGGCATCTCCTTAACTTCTGGGCCCGAAATGACGCCCCAGCACATAGCAGATGCCTTCATTCCAGGCCTAACTCCCGGGTCCTCCATGACATACAGATGACAGCTGCTACAATGTGAGGCATGTGTGTGTATGAATGCTTGGGCTATATGTACACTACTATTGTTCTAGAATCCTAGCTACTCAGGAGGCTGGAACATGGTTCAAAGCCAGTCCAGACAAGAAAGTTGGTGAGACTCTGATCTCCAGTTAACTACCAGAAAATCCAAGTGGTGCTGCGGCTCATAGTGGTAGAGTGCTCGCCCTGAGCAAAAGAGCTTAGGAACAGCACCCAGGTCCTGACTTTAAGTCCCATGACCAACAACAACAACAAAAAGATTAACAGCTGCTAATTCTGCTCAAATGATCAGTAAAATCTACTGCATTGCACACTCCAACATGGTGAATTTTGTATCTCAACACACACAAGCATAATCTTAAAAATGTGTTAAATAACTTTCACTTAGAACCTTAGGCCTTGGGCTGGATGCTGGTGACTCATGCCTGTCATCCTAGCTACTCAGGAAGCTGAGAGCTAAGGATCATGGTTCAAAGCCAGCCCAGGCAGGAAAATCTGTGAAACTCTTTTCTCCAATAAACTGCTCAGAAAACCGGAAGTGGCACTGTGGCTCAAGTGGTAGAGCGCTAGCTTTGAGCTGAAGAGCTGATGGACAGTGCCCAGGCCCAGAGTTCAAGCCCCATGACCGACAAAAACAAAAAACAAAAAAGCAAAAACTTTAGGCCCTGGTGTACCACTGTTCAAAGAAAAAGTCATTTTTGAAAGTGCCTTAAGATGTCTTGGTCACAGACCCCCTGCAGAAAAGCTCTTCCCTCCAGGTTTGGCCTGACTTGAAATATCGCTTGGAATTGTTTTCTAAGTATGATTTCCGCAGAAGGAGCGACGGGCGTGTGACACAAGGTCCGATCGCTGGAAAGTGGGTTTGCGCAGTGAAGGTCCTGCCTCCCGGCTGTTCGTGCTCCAGATGCTTCACACCAAATTCGCAGAGAATCACATGATCACTTTCTTATTTATTTACTTTATTAAGAGCCAGCAAAAGACCTGGGATTTAATTTATTCCTTTTTTCTTTTGAGACAAAGTCTCACTCAGGCTGGTCTCAAATTCCCAAACTTTAAAATCCTCCTGACTGAGCCTCCGAAGTTCTTGCATGTACCACTATACCCAGCTCAGAATTGGGATCTGAGAAAAAGCACTGAACAGACATTTGTGATTCAATTACTTGAGTGGAAAGCTTATTTCCTCCAATCTTTGGTATACACATGGATCTTTTACCCAATAAAGGGTCTGAGTAAAAACACAGAAGAGCAAAAAAAACACTTGTATCACAAGTCACATAAAGGAGCACTATTTGTGCTGGTAGGATCATCTGTCAAATAGCTCAGCTAAGGCCTTAAAATATGTATGTGCTTCACCAGTAATATCCCTCTTACAGGTTAGGGAGAAGACAAAGGCACTGAAATCTAGGTAACATTTATCATCCTAACACTATGTATTCTTTTTCAAACAAAGAAAACAAGCCAGGCACAGTGATGCCTACCTACAGTCCCTGCAGTACAAGTACTTGGGAGGCAGACGGATGGAGGATCACTAGAGACCAGGTGCTCAGGACCAGCCTGGGTTGGGCTACTTGGCCAGATTCCACTCCCCCGCCCTCCCCCAATGCCCAAATCCTACAGGGTAGCTAATCACAGATTAGAATAACAGAATGACTGCCTGTAACAGTAGAATGGAGCTTTAGAGTAGAATAACAGAATAACTGCCTATAACAGTAGAATGGAGCTTTAAAAGTAACAATAAAAGTACTGACTTGTAAATATATCAGTAATTTTTGGGTGAAAGAGCGGAATGTATTTTCACGTATGTATGTGCATATTGCTGCCTCCGTCTTTCTCTTCAGAGGAGAGAACATGAATTACAAGGTTCGGAGTTAATACTGAGGGGACAGACAGTGCAGAACTGTACTTCCTTTCCTTTACTGCGGGCGTCTCGGCGGGCACAAGCAGGGCGCGGAGGAGGCGGCACTACGCCTCAGAGCACTGAGGATATGTAACTCCGTCTTAGGAAACACACTCTTTCTGACACACACACCTCCCACAAAACACAACAGTGCTCTGTCTACCCCGATGCTGGCCCCACACTGCACGCCAGCGCCTCCTGTGCTGCAGGGGAGAAGGGTCCATGTCTGACAGTGGGAAGAGGAACGGGCTCCAGAGGGGACCCAGCTCACTGAGTTTCCTCACCTGTAGAATGGGGGCAACAGGCTGAGTTTGTTAAAGGTGGAGACCCTAGAGCGTGTACAGGGAGTCTCCGGAGCCCGGCGGGCCCCGATGGAGGCACATTTCTGTTAACACTGTCAATAGTTCCAGTGACATACAAGTCCTTTTCTCTGCCGATCTGTTCCCCTGACAACACCTACAATAAACAGACTTCACAGGACACTAAGCTTCACGCGATCTCATCAACTCTAAGTCTAGAACTGAGGCCCGTGAAGAAGGCTAACACCACTGGCTCCCCAGACAGAGTGGACACCAATGTCCCCACAGGGTATCCCTAACACTTCCTGAGTGAGCTGAATAAAAATGAACTCACCATCTTGTCACTAACGCCATCTCATCACCCATCCTCTGTGCTTCTATTGTGTCCCGTTCCTCCTCCCTGGGGAGCAGTGCTGGAGACTCAGAAGCATTGGAAGAAGTGCACCTTGTGGTCAAAGTAGGACCAGGCGCTGTGGGTGCAGCGGTGAGGGGCCTACTACTTACCCTCGGGCTCTCCCCACAACGTCTTTCTTCTCCAGCCAGTGCTGCCCTTGTTTATACAGGCCTCGATCATCAACAGCATTATTATCTCCTTTGGTTAAAAACTTGATATGCCCATTTTGCCTTAAAGGAATAAGGGAAATGCAAGTCATCTAATACCTCTGCGGCATTTGAAAGCACAAAATTTGCTCAGCCAAAGTTCCTGGGGCACTGTAAAATTTAATTATTCCTTGCATTAATTCTTTAATTGGCTAAAAGGAAACTTATAGTTGCATGGTTCCTAATAAAGAATAAACCTGAGCCGGGCGCTGGGGGCCCACGCTTGTCACCCTAGCTACTCAGAAGGCTGAGATCTGAGGATCCTGGTTCAAAGCCAGCCCAGGCAGGAAAGTCCATGAGACTCTATTTTGTTGTTGTTGGTTGTAGGGCCTGAACTTGGGGCCTGAGCACTGTCCCTCAGCTCTTCAGCTCAAGAATAGTGCTCTACCACTTGAACCACAGCGCCACTTCCGGCTTTTTCTGCTTATGCCTCATGCATGCAAGGCAAGCACTCTACCACTGAGCCACCTTCCCAGCCTTCCATGAGACTCTTATCTCCAATAAACCACCAGAAAACCGGAAGTGGTGCTGTGGCTCAAGTGGTAGAATGCTTGCCTTGACCTGAAATGCTCAGGGACAGCGCCCAGGTCCAGAGTTCAAGCCCCACGACTGACAGAAAAACAAAACAAAATGAAAAAAGAATAAACCCAAACAAAAGTCCCACATTTAGAAGTTAAAACATTATGCATGGGATGGGAAGGTGGCTCAGTGGTAGAGCGCTTGCCTTGCAAGCCAGAGGCCCTGGGTTCGATTCCTCAGCACCACATAAGCAAAAAGAAAAAAGCCAGAAGTGGTGCTGTGGCTCAAGTGGTAGAGCCTAGCCTTGAGCTGAAGAGCTGAGGGACAGCACCCAGACCCAGAGTTCAGGCCCCACGACCAGACCCAAAACAAACAAACAAAAACATTATGCAGGCATCAAAAGAACAAGGTTGCAGCTTTTCTCCTTTTAGTCTGACATCTTAATGAGGCTGCGGCTGTCACGGCTGCTCTCCAGGCTTCATGATGCTGCCCCAAGACCACAAGAAAGAAGCGGGAAGTTGGCTAGGAAAGACAAGGCCCCAGTGAGCAGTCCAGAGGCAAAGTTTGGAACGAGCTCCACAGTTTCGTCCTACTTCACAAAGCTACTCCTGACAAACTGCAAGCAAGTCCCAGCTCTAAGCTCTCTACTCTGACAATGGTCTCAGAGAGGCTGAAGACCCCTGGCTCCCTGGCCAGAGCAGGGCCCCTTGGTAAAAACTTGCCAAATGAGCTTCAGAGCAGAGCTCCAGTGATTCACATCAGGAATACTAATGGGGAGACACCCCAGCTGCTGATGAAGACGCATGGACATGCCTAACCAACTGTACACTTGGAAAAATAGAACAATGCTCTAGACAACTGAAGATTACGAAAAAGTATACAAAACAGTCTGGTTTTTATATTACAAGACTCTGGAAAACAGGTGCCAGAGGCTCACGCCTGTAATCCTAGCTATTCAGGAGGCTGAGATCTGAGGATCGCGGTTCAAAGCCAGCCCGGGTAATAAACCACTAGAAAACCGGAAGTGGTGCTGTGGCTCAAGCGGTAGAGCGCTCGCCTTGAGTTGAAGAGCACAGGGACAGCGCCCAGGCCCAGAGTTCAAGCCCCACAACCAACCAAAAAAAAAAAAAAAAAAAGAATCTGGGAAAATATGAAGAACGAAGGAGCCCACTAGATGACCACTAGGGAGACAGCCGGCCACAGCTGATTATATGAAGTAGAGGACCTGCTTTTTTCAAGCAGTACCGGCAGCAAGAGACCACCAGAGGACTTCTGGATGGAGCGGCCGGTGTCAGCCAGCTACAGCCGGGGATCTCATCTGGATCTGGGTTCAAACAAAGGCTTAAAAAATGTGTGACAGGGCTGGGAAGGTGGCTCAGTGGTAGAGTGCTTGCTCTGCATGCCTGAGGCCCTGGGTTCGATTCCTCAGCACCACATAAGCAAAAAGAAAAATGCCAGAAGTGGCGCTGTGGCTCAAGTGGTAGAGCACTAGCCTTGAGCTGAAGAGCTGAGGGACAGCGCCCAGGCCCAGAGTTCAGGTCCCAATACCGGACTAAAAAACAAAAAAACAAAAAAACAAAAAAATGTGTGACAGCCGGAGGCCAATCTGAGTATGTACTGCAGAAGGTAGCGTAACCACGCATCGCATGCCTGCAGTTAAACCGTTCCTCCCCATGGTGGTCCTGGACTATTACTCATTTCATATTCAAAATATTATATATGAGATGTCAAAAAATTTAGGACATTAACTGGGAAGTTGAACAAAGGCTGGGAAGTGCTATCGTCATGCTCTACAAAACACGGACTGTTATGTCTCCCAGGATCTTTATACTTCAAAGCAGCACCTACTTTTCATGAATCTTCAGGACTCGGTGCACTATGGGGATCTCCCGTCCTTCTATCCTGAACACGACAATTTCCCCCACTCGTATGGGGTCTTCGACTCGATTTGTCAGGAAGAGCAGGTCTCCTCTGTGAAACGCAGGTTCCATGCTGCCACTGGGAGGGAGGATGGGAGACAGCAAAAAAGGCAGCATGAGACTGGGCCGGCTTCGCAAACTGAAGAGTGATGAGAAGCGCCGCTTCTGCGGCACACGCACACCACAGCAATGCTGCCACCGCTCCTGACTATCCGTCTCAAAATCTGTCTCCTGAGACCGCATGGGATTTTTAGTCATTACCTTCACGGCTAATTCCAACTCAAGTGGCACTATACAAAACAGTCTTGGAGCGAGCACTGTTCCTAATTCCTTAACCTTTAAAAGCTTTCAATGACAGAAAATAACAATGAACTTTACAGACACTGCCCTTATTTTCACTTTGTCTGAAAACACTAAACATATTCAAATATTCAAATGAGCCCTGGACCTTCTTCTGCCATTTATAAAGATACAGACCCAGATGACCTTCTGAGTCAGGCCCTAAGAGAGAAACAGCTCATCAAGTCGCAACTGTCAGCTGCAGAGATAAAGCCTGCTTATCAACCCACATAGAAATAAGACAGTGAAAGGCTAGAACAGAGGTTTTTGCCTAAGAATTTCAGAAAAAAAGCCCTCTCGCCTGCTCTCCCCTACACAGCCCTGATAGAACTGAAATGTTCACACTAATCAATGTGCCCTTTTCTTTTTCTCCCTTCTCTCATTCCTTCCTTCGTTAATCCCCCTCCCCCCCTTTTTTTAATATGCAGGGTTTGTGTGAATGTGTTTTCATTTTGCTTGGAGTGAGACTGCTGGATCATGTTTTTTGGTGTGTATTTTTTTTGGTCAGTCATAGGGCTTAAACTCTGGGCCTGGGCACTGTCCCTGAGCTCTTCAGCTCAAGGCTAGTGCTCTACCACTTGAACCACAGTGCCACTTCAAGTTTTTGAGTGGTTAACTGGAGATCAACAATCTCATAGGGACTTTCCTGTCCAAGCTGGATTTGAACCACGATCCTCAGATCTCAGCCTCATGTGGTGTTTTATGTGTGTAGATTTATAAGAATCACCAAACTTGTTCCTAGACTGGCCATATCATTTTGTATTCCCAGCTATGTATGAAACTTCCTATTTGATCTTTTCTATCAAGAGTATCCTATGAATACATTTCAGGCACATTCCAGGAACACAAGCTCCAGTTTTCAATTGTAACAGCTTTAGTAAGAAGAAAACGAACCAGTAGGAAATAAAATTCCAAGTACAATATTTTTGTTTAAACTTTGGCAGGGCTCCCAAGCTTTGCTGAACACTAGAAATATCTAAGAAACTTAAAAAAAAGAAAGAAAAAAAAATCTCATGTCCACTTACAGACAATGTCTGCAATGGGAGGTAGCATCATTCTGTAAAGATTCTCACTGATGAACTGAGAATGGTAACATACGCCTGTAACCCCAGCACTTGGAAGGCTAAAGCAGGAGGAGCATGAGTTCAAGGCTGGACTACATGGTGAGATCCTGCCTCAAAAAAACTAAAACAACCTGAGTCCCTATTCTCAACAGAAAAAGCTGGGCCTGGACCTGGTGATGCCCACCTGTCATCTGTAGCATCAGGGCTGGCAGAGGCAGAAGTGACATGCTATCTAAAACGGCCAGGGGCTGGGAAGGTGGCTCAGTGGTAGAGCGCTTGCCTTGCATGCCTAAGGCCCTGGGTTCGATTCCTCAGCACCACATAAGCAAAAAGAAAAAAGCCGGAAGTGGCCCTGTGGCTCCAGTGGTAGAGTGCTAGCCTTGAACTGAAGAGCTGAGGGACAGCCCTCAGGCCCAGAGTTCAGGCCCCACGACCGGACCCAAAAAAAAAAAAAAAAAAAAAAAAATTAAAACGGCCAGTACAAGAGGGCAAGTGTGAAACCCTGAGTTCAAACTCCAGTATTTCGAAAAGCAGCAGCAATAACACCTTAGTAATTCAATGTAAAGTCTATAATCATTATGCATGTACTTTCTATACACGTTTATACACGATATTGTACTAAAGCTTTTGTTAAGTTTCCCACAGAGCAGTGAGGCCCCTTTTTCTGAAGGTGTTTGGTCAGAAGATGGAATATGTGTTTGGTAAAAACCTTACAGATACATTCTGTACACAAAGCTTTCAAGTGTTTAATTTTTAAAAACAGGGACATCTTTTCTTCAAATAAAATGCGACTTGAAGACTACTTCAGAAGCTACAGAGTATACAGAAGACACTCAAACATTTGTTGAATTAAAGTGACCTGGAAAAGATGAGAAGGTAGATTGGGAGATGAGGCGCCCAGGCTGCTCCGTGTACTCAGTAACTATGAGAGTGCAGTTTGAAACTCTGCTAAACAACGAAAGAGGATACTTTTTTTTTGTTGTTGTTGGTTGTGGGGCTTGAACTCTGGGCTTGGGCACTGTCCCTCAGCTCTTCAGCTTAAGGTGAGCGCTCTACTGCTTGAGACACAGCACCACTTCTGGTTTTCTAGTGGTTTACTGGAGATAAGAGTCTCATGGACTTTTCCTGCCAGGGCTGGCTTTGAAACACAATCCTCAGATCTTAGCCTCCTGAGTAGCTAGGATTTTTTTTTTTTTTTGGTCTGGTCGTGGGGCTTGAACTCTGGGCCTGGGCGCTGTCCCTCAGCTCTTCAGCTCAAGGTGAGTGCTCTACCACTTGAGCTACAGTGCCACTTTCAGTTTTCTGGTAGTTTATTGGAGATAGGAGTCTCACTGTCTCTCCTGCCCGGGCTGGCTTTGAACCGAGATCCTCAGATCTCAGCCTCCTGAGTAGCTAGGATTACAGGCGTGAGCCACCAGCGCCCAGCAGAAGGATACTCTTAAGAAAGACACACAATGCACAATGCCTGTGTGCATTTGTTCATACAAAACAGTATGTATCAAAATGAACTCCAGGAAATGGGAAAACAAAATGATACTGCTAAACAGAGACTTAGACAAATAATGAGAGAGAGAAAAAGAGGACATACATGCAGAATGATCTCAATTATATGAAAACAGCCTAAAATGTTAACAGGATTATACCTCAGAATCACAAGTGACAGTTCCACCTGGGGTTGTTTGTGTGGTTGCAACAGCCCATACAATGAAAATGTAAATGTATTAACTTTTCTTGATTATGAAGGCATTTCTTTAAAGGTCATAACAAAAGTACAAGCAGGAAGTGAAAGAGCTGAAAATAGACCGATGCGTGGACCCAGCTCCAAAGAGGTGAGTGAAGAGAAGGGGGCAGCAGATTTCTGGCCAATTAGCTTCCGGCACAAGAGTGAGATGGCAAGTCGGCGGGGGGCAGGGCCAAGAGCGGGGCGCGGGGTGCGGGCTCATGGTTTTGAGAAGGAAGTAAAATTCATCTTTATTGTGTAGTGCTTCAAGTGCCTGGTCAGAACCCAGGTAGAGACATCAAGTGCAGGCAGAAAATGAGGTTGGGGGCTGGGAAGGTGGCTCAGTGGTAGAGTGCTTGCCTTGCATGCATGAGGCCCTGGGTTCGATTCCTCAGCAACACGTAAGCAGAAAAAAAAAAGCTGCAAGCGGTGCTGTGGCTCAAGTGGTAGAGCACTAGCCTTGAGCAAAAGGAGCTCAAGGACCAGGCTCAGAGGTTAAGCCTCAAGACTAGAGAGGGAGAGGAGAAAGACAGGGAGGGAGGAAGGGAGGGAGGGAGGGAAGCAGGGAAAGAGGAAAAGAGAGGGAAGGAGAGTAGAAGAGAAGGAGAGGAGAGAAGGAGGGAAGGAAGGAAGAAGAGAAGGGGAGGAGAGAAAGAGGAAAGGAGAGAAGAACAAGAGGGAAGGAAGGACATTCCAAGTCCTTGACCTCTTGAAACCCAGTCCATTTCCATTATCCTAAGGAGCAGGACCAGGACTGCTTCCTCCTGCAAATAGCTGCAAGCAGCCGGTGTCTACGGGTCAGCCTCTCCCCATCACGCCACTGCCTGCTCTTCTGAGCCTCAGGTGACTATTAAGAGTGCTGGTGCATGGGCTGGGAAGGTGGCTCAGTGGTAAAGTGCTTGCCTTGCATGCCTGAGGCCCTGGGTTCGATTCCTCAGCACCACATAAGCAAAAAGAAAAAAAAAGCCGGAAGTGGCACTGTGGCTCAAGCGGTAGAGCACTAGCCTTGAGCTGAAGAGCTGAGGGACAGCGCCCAAGCCCAGAGTTCAGACCCCACGACCGGACCCCCCAAAGAGAGCTGGTGCTTGCAGTTTACATGGGGTACAAATGTCCCTTAACATACCAATTTCACTTCCTCTTGGTATGTGCCTAGTAGTGGAGCTGCTAGATCTAATGATAATCTTTTGTTTTTACTGTTGGTTCTGGAGCTTGAACTCATGGCCTAGGTGCAGTATCTGAACTTTCTTGCTCAAGGTTGGTGCTCTATCACTTGAGCCACAGCTCTACTTTTGCCTTTTGCCTGTTAACTGGAGTTTCATGGACTTTTCTGCTGGCCTCAAACCCAAATCCTCAGCTCTCAGACTCCTGAGTAGCTAGGATTACAAGTGTGACAGTAGACACAAATGAAATTTTTTTAATTTTTAGAGAAAACAAATTTTAAAGTTATATTTAAGTTTTTAAATAGGTAGAAAGGGAGGCAGGAAGCTAACAAGTCTGTGGCTAACCTGGCTACATAGCAAGACACTGTCTCAAACATTCCACACCAGCTGGGCGCAGGTGGCTCATGCCTGTAATCCTAGCTACTCAGGAGGGCTGAAATCTGAGGATCGAGGTTCAAAGCCAGCCCAGGCAGATAAGTCCGTGAGACTCTTATCTCCAATAAACCACTTGAAAAGCGGAAGTGGTGCTGTGGCTCAAGCGGTAGAGCACTTGCCTTGAGCTGAAGAGCTGAGGGACAGCGCCCAAGCCCAGAGTTCAAGCCCAACGACCATCAAAAAACAAAACAAAACAAAACAAAACCTTCTACACCTACAAGCAGTTAATATTCTGGAGAATATTTCTTTTCTGGTGCTTGGGGACAAAACCCAGGAACTTGTGCATTTTGTACAGATTCTCTGTTACTGTCAACCCCACCCCTGCCCGTAAGAGATTAATATTTCCTAACAAATGTCAGCGCTATGAAGGGTTACTTGAGATTTCAGTTACTAAAATATATCAAAGTGTATGCCTTATTTCCCAGGCTTCACTGGAGTTCCGAGAATGGGTTCTCAGTCAGCATGAATCCCTGAAGCATACTTGTTCTTTGAAATCAGACACACCTCTGGCAGGGAACCTGTATGGGCAACCGAGTTACCACTCTTTCACAGCCCCCTCTTTTTGCTCTTGACCAGAATTCTCCTCTACACAACTAATATTCACGTCTTTCCTTTGTTTCAGGTTGGAAATATAAAAGAATCATATGCAGATATAGTACTGACAACACATAAAAGTCCAAGTGCCACTTTGTTTCTATTCAGTATCATTTTGAAGTACCAACTAACATTACAAAGTTTCCAGCAGAACTAAGCTACTTTGAGGACCAACTAACTGTTGAGGAGCTTGTCTTTGAGGTTTTTGATTTTTGAGATGGTCTACTTATGAAGCTTAGGCTAACACTACACTTTCTACCTTTCTGCCTCAGCCTCCCAAATGCTGGGATTTATAAAGCCATGTACCATGCTGGGAATGTGGCTTAGTGGTAGACTGCCTGCCTAGCATGCATGAAGCCCTGGGTTTGATTCCTCAGTACCACATACACAGAAAAAGCCGGAAGTGGCGCTGTGGCTCAAGTGATAGAGCGCTAGCCTTAAGCAAAAGCAGCTCAGCAACAGTGCCCAGGACCTGAGTTCAAGCCTCCGGACTGGCTAAATGAAGGGATGTACCACCCTGCTGGGCATCACCAGTTGAGAGCAGTTTTTCAGCCTAATTCCGTTATTCCAATTCTGCCAGTTAGAGGTAGACTATGCTTTAAACATGTCCACAGAAGGGGATAAAATCTGAAATCACCCCGGAAAAACGTCAGAAGGAGCCTCCGTGCCTTCTCCCCACGGCACAAGCTGGTACAGCTTCTCTTCCGTTAAGTGTTGGGAATGGTCTACTAAATTCAAGACAGCAAGTTAGGCTATGTCATTTCTCTGACGTCGAGGCTTAGTCCTCACTTCGCAGATAGGAAACTATCAGTGGTTCAGTGAATAAGCAACCTGTCCAAAGCTGCAATAGGCAACAGAGCCCCTCAGACCCAAGGCTCTGTTTGCCTAGAGCAGAATGTTAAATGCTTCCCACGTAACAATTACCCATGTCTTTGGAGCTCTAAAATAATAGCTGCCTTCAGTTATTAATAAAGAGAAGAGGGGCTGGGAAGTTGGCTCAGTGGTAGAGCGCTTGCCTTGCATGCCAGAGGCCCTGGGTTCGATTCCTCAGCACTACATAAGCAAAAAGAAAAATGCCGGAAGTGGCGCTGTGGCTCAAGTGGTAGAGCGCTAGCCTTGAGCTGAAGAGCTGAGGGACAGCGCCCAGGCCCAGAGTTCAGGCCCCATGACTGGACCCCCCCCCCCAAAAAATAATAATAAAATAAAGAGAGGATTAAGGTACAAATATGAGTAAAAGTCTAGGTAAGGTCTGAAAAAGAAATCACTTGATGGAGTAGAAAATATGTGACTATAACAATGAGAAAGTCACACTCATCTTGTTAAGAGTAACATTAAGGACTGGGAAGGTGGCTTAGTGGTAGTGCTTGCCTAGCATGCACAAAGCCCTGGGTTCAATTCCTCAGTACCACATACCCAGAAAAAGCTGGGAGTGGTGCTGTGGCTCAAGTGGAAGAGTGTTAGCCTTGAGCAAAAGAAGCTCAGGAACAGTGTCCAGGCCCTGAGTTCAAGTCCCAGGACTGGAAAAAAAAAAAAAAAAAGAGTAACATTACATAAGCTGGGCACTGGCGGCTCACGCCTATAATCCTAGTTACTCAGGAGGCTGAGATCCGAGAAGCACAGTTCAAAGCCAGTCTGGGCAGGAAAGTCTGTGATGCTCTGATCTCTAATTAACCACTAACAAGCCAAGTGGAGATGTGGTGCAAGAGGTAGGAGAGCCAGCCTTGAGTGAAAAAAGATAAGGAACAGTACCCAGGCTCCAAGTTCAAGCCTCAGTAAGGGAACCAATCCCACACACACCACCACTACCACATCTCTAAAATGCCACGAATCTAGTCATGTGGTGCAAGAGGTAGGAGAGCCAGCCTTGAGTGAAAAAAGATAAGGAACAGTACCCAGGCTCCAAGTTCAAGCCTCAGTAAGGGAACCAATCCCCCACACACCACCACTACCACATCTCTAAAATGCCACGAATCTAGTCAGCAGTGGCCTTTAAAGGTGACAAGGTATGACAGTGATTAGCTAGGTGCTTCAGTACTGACCCTGAGCACATGCTGGTCTACACAAGCTAAGGACCAAACACCGAGCAAAAGGCTTGACTCAAGTGCGGAAAAGACAAAGCAGATTTGCAAGCCAATAAGCTCCACAGCTGGCTTCTTACAGGCAGGGGCTGGACTTGGGGAACCCAGTGGGAGCACCCAATAAGATGACTATTTCTCCCAAGTGAGCAGTGGTACTTTCCATCTTGGCTTTCCTCTGGAAAACAGTTTCTAAGGGACAATCTCAGGTTTTCTCCCAAGCAATGGCATGCAATTCCAAGCCTTGAAAAGAAAGCATATTACCTGAGCACTACTACAATGGGGCTCTCACTTCCAGTTATTACCATTAAGCCCTTCCAGATCATCAATGCTGAGGAGACAATCATCCCAAAATTCAGGACTTGATAATACAGCTGTAAGGACAAAAGGAAGAGGTTAGGCTCTCAAAAGCAACCCAGAATGGCATCAATTAGTACTAGAGCAGCTCAAGTCTGAGTCTTCAAAAAGCTCTTCTGAACTGTACCCAGTTCAGCGTGTTTGCCAATACCTCGGTTACATCTGGGTAACAGTGGGCTGTTTCCATAACCTCTCACAGAAGTTCTTTCAGCTTAGATTCACACCCAACAGTAATACATGCATGCTAATTTCCCATACCACTCTCTCAACATTTAACGCCAGCTGCTTAGTTTACAATTGGGGAACTTCCTCTCAGAGAGACGACTTGGTCAGAGTTTCACAGCTCACCAGTCACAGGGTCAGACTCCAAGAGCGGCCTTCTGCCATAACTTAAACAAGCAGCCACAACAGCAGGAAGGCTTCTGGAGCGAGAGAACAAACAAGAGCCCCATAGCTTTGGCCACACTTGCAGAATGTTCGGTAAAAGGACGGCTGCCTGCCAAAGCTAGCAGTTCAAAGACACCGCCAGGACTGCAAAATGGTGTGAAAGTCGGATTGGGGAGAGCCCTACATACAAAACTGACGCTGTGAGCCCCCCAAAAGCATCATAATACACTTTAAAGTACAAAAAAACAAAGATTTCAAAAGTAAGTAAAATAAAGCTCATTTTTGCTATTTAAAAAAATATATGCAAGCCGGGCTCCGGTGGCTCATGCCTGTAATCCTATCTACTCAGAGGCTGAGATGAGGATCATGGTTCAAAGCCAGCCCAGGCAGAAAAGTCTATGAGATTCTTATCTCCAATAAGCCACCAGAAAACCAGAAGTGGCACTGTAGCTCAAGTGGTAGAGCACTAGCCTTGGGCAAAAAGGAGTTCAGGGACGGCGCCCAGGCTCAGAGTTCAAATCCCAGGATGGGCGAAGATAACAAACCCTAAATGTCACAGGAAAAAAAAAGACGGGAGACTGTTCCACATTAGAAAGGAACACGACTAAATGTAGTACATTAAGTCTAACTGGATCTTGCTTCAAAACACCAAAAAAAATTTTGAGCCAGACATAGCTGTGCAGGCCTGTAATCCCAGCACCCCAAGAAACTAAGGGAGGCTGGTGCCTGTCATCCTAGCTACTCAGAAAGCTGAGATCAGCCGGCCCCTGCAGTAAAGTCCGTGGGACTCTCATCTCCAATGAACCACCCGAAAACCAGAAGTGGCGCTGTGGTTCAAGTGGTAGAGCGCTCGCCTTGAGCGAAAGAGCTCAGGGACAGCGCCGAGGCCCTGAGTTCAAGCCCCACAGCCGAGTAAAGAAAGAAACTGAGGCGGGAAGATTAGGCTTGAGGCCAGCCTGGACTCTGAACTGGAATCGCTCAGAATCTTGTAGGCAGGCCTCAAAGACCACAGAGAAGCTGAGGTTAACTGCAAATTACAAACCTTGAGCCGTGATCATTCCTAAGAGCAAAACACGCTTTCAAGAGATCGACTGGAGGCAAAGGTGGCCTCGGGCTGATGGAGAAGACACAAGGACTGACGCGTTCCCCAAGTACTCTCAACACCTCTGCTTCGGATGGAGACCTCGGTAGCGGGGCGGGTCGCCGCGGCCCGGCGGGGACCCTGGCCAAACAAAGACCCGCGCCACGGGGCAGCCCCAAACGACTCGGGCCCCGACTGCGACGTCCACCGGTGCTCGCAGAGGCCCCAGTCCAGCGGGGGCAGCGGGGGCAGCGGCCTCGGGGCCCGGCACGAGGCGCCCAGGCCCAGAACGCCGGGAGCGCCGCGCCGCGCCGCGCCCCGCCCCGCGCCGCAGACAATGAGAGCCCCGGCTCGCGCGGGCGCCGGCCCCGCGGTCCCCGCGGGCTGCGGGCCTGGCGGCGGACGGGGAGGCCCGGCTGGCGCCCCCGGGCCGGCGGAGGTCGAGGCGCAGGCGCGGCGAGGCGGCCCCCCGCCAGCGCCCCCGCGCCGGGGCCGCGCAGGCCTCAGCGGCAGCCGGGGCCCGCGGCCCCGCGGCGGCGCCCGGGGACCCGCGGGAACCCACCTGCCTCTTGTTCATCCGCCGCACATCGTCCAGGAAGTCTAGCGACAGCATGGCGGGGCCGGCGAGCGGGGCAGTGGCGGGAGACCGTGGCGGTAGGGATCGCCGGGCGGGACGGCGGGCGCGCGGGCCGGGCGCGCGGTGGACACGACCCCGCGGTGCCTGCACTTCCGCTTCCGGGGTGGGCCGGAAGTCGACGTGGTCCCGCCCCTGCGCTGTGGAGAGCAAAGACCCCTCCAGAAGGCTCTGCGTGGAAAGCCTTTCCCGCCCGCGAGCGGCCCGCGGGCTCCCGGTCGGGGGAGGGCTTTCCCGCGCTGGCCCTCCCCGGTCTGCGAGGAGCCGGCTCGGGCCCGCCTCCCGCGCCCGGCCCGGCGGCCCGCGGACTCAGTGGCCCCGCGGCTTCCGGAGGGCGGGCCCTAGCGCACGCCGGCCAATCGGGCGCCGGGCGTGTCCCCGGCCGCCGGCCGCCCGCGGGAGCGCGCGGGGCCGGCGCGGAGCTGCAGGCCGGGCGGTCCCGCGCGAGCGCCCGTCGCGGTAGGGCGGGCGGCTCGAGGCACCTCCGCCCGGGACCCGCCGCCTCGGGTCTTCTCTCGAGTGACCGTGGTTGTTGGCTTCCCGTGGGCACGGCTTCACGCGGTGCCCCGTGACGCGCACGTTTCAGTCGGGAGCCCGTGCAGTGTGAGTTGTGACAGCGCGCACGCGCACACGCAGCCTCGGAGCCACGCCTGTGCCTTAGGTTCTCCGGACTGTGCTGAGTGCGTGTGCGCGTGCGCAGTGCAGGCGCGCGTGCGCACTCCCCGCTGCCGTCCTAGGCACCCCAAACCTGCTGAGCTCTAGGAAGGGCACCCCAATTTGGTAACAGTAGGAGGTGCACAGTAGGTTGATACTCAACAGTACTTGAAGAAATGTGGGTTATATGTTCGAATCTGAGTTGTTGGGGTTTTTTTTTGGGGGGGGGGTCCGGTCGTGGGGCCTGAACTCTGGGCCTGGGCGCTGTCCCTCAGCTCTTCAGCTCAAGGCTAGCGCTCTACCACTTGAGCCACAGGGCCACTTCCGTCCTTTTTCTTTTTGCTTATGTGGTGCTGAGGAATCGAACCCAGGGCCTCATGCATGCAAGGCAAGCGCTCTACCACTGAGCCACCTTCCCAGCCCTGGGTTTGTTTTTTTTTTTTTTTCGGTCATGGGTCTTGAACTCAGGGCCTGGGCGCTGTCCCTCAGCTCTTCAGCTCAAGGCTCTACCACTTGAACCAAGCCCCACTTGTGGCTTTTTCTGCTTATGTGGCACTGAGGACTCGAACCCAGGGCCTCATGCACGCAAGGCAAGCGCTCTACCACTGAGCCACCTTCCCAGCCCCGAATCTAAGTCCTTGCCAGTTGGCCCTTGTCCTGAGCTTGTGAATGTTAGATTCCATCTAAAGGTGCACACCAACATTCACTTAAGCGCATGTGAGTTTTAGTCGGCCTCTTATCTGAGGGCAAAGTCCTGTGTGTCTGCACGTGGAAGAAGTCAATTTAGTTGGGGAGCTTTATGAAGAACAGGACTCTCAGAAAGGAGAAAGTATTAGAGATATGTGTAAAATTCATTTGACACACAGGGAAATTTAGCAGACAAACCAGAATACTACCAAGTGAGGAATTGAAGGAAACTGGAAAAGTATTTGAATAATTCAGTTTGTTTTTCCAGCCTTATCCATACATAAAGGAACTAGACTATGTGGCCGGTGCGCAGACTGTCATCTCTGAAATGACATGTGTTGGATACATACAATTTCTACCCATGGCCAACCCACCTACCACTCCACACCAGACACGTTTACTTCCCAAACCTGCCTTCTGATTATTTTATTTTTTATGGTTGTTCTGTATATAGTCCTTCCTCTGAGGAGGAAGGAGATTTGAGATAGGCTTTCATTTTGTAGCCCAGATTGGCTTTTAACTTGTAAAATCCTTCTGTGTCAGCTTCCCAAGAGCTGAGATTACAGGTATGAACCACTATACCTAGCTTTGTACATTTCAAATTATCCAAATAATACAGGAATATATTCTCAGTGTAAAAGATTGGAGCAGAGTAAGTGGACTGTATGCTAAGTCACATGCCTACAGTCCCAGCAATTTGGGAGGCTGAGGCAAAAGGATTGCTTGAACTCATGACTTCAAGACCAAGCTGGGCAGCAAAGCAAGACTCTTAACTCAAAAACAAAGAAGCAGGGCTGGGAATGTGGCTTAGTGGTAAAGTGCTTGCCTAGCATGCATGAAACTCTGGTTCAATTCCTCAGTAGCACATAAACAGAAACAGTAGTCGCACTGTAGCTCAAGTGGTAGAGTGCTAGCCTGGAGCAAGAGAAGCTCAGGGACCATGCCCAGGCTCTGAGTTCAAGCCCCAGGACTGGCAAAAAAAAAAAAAAAAAAATCCAGAAATTCCATGTCTACTAAAATATGAAAAGCAAGGTCTCAGAGAGATTTGTGCATCCATGTTCATCAAAACATTCCTGTTAGGAAAACGTGTTAGCACACTTGGTGTGTGACTTGGTGTGTGGGAAGCCTTGGGTGTCATTACCAGTACCAAAAATAAATGTCTACAATATCACTAGTTTCTCCCTGACCTTTTCAAAAGAAGTGGGTGGAAGGAAAAAGTCCCCTTACAACCTTCCCAGGAGAGGAAGTGACCCAGGAATTCACAGCAAGCTGGTGTAGGGGGCCAGAATGGAGGCCTAGATCCTCCCCCAAAAGACTATCTGGGTTATGCTAGGATGAGAAGCCTGATGCTAGGCCAGGGGGCTGCAGAATGACCCTCCCTGCTGACCAGCTCAGGGTTATGAGACCTGAGACTATGTTAAAGGAGGGTAACCCTTTTGAGGGGGGCAGGACAAAGCTCATCAAGGCACTTTCTGTGTAGACAGATGACCACAGTCACCTAAGTCACTCTGGGAGTGTTTTGGGAAGCTCCCTTTAAAAAGTGCCAGACAGGGGCTGGGAAGGTGGCTCAGTGGTAGAGCACTTGCCTTGCATGCATGAGGCCCTGGGTTGGATTCCTCAGCACCACATAAGCAAAAAAAGCTGGAAGTGGTGCTGTGGCTCAAGCAGTAGAGCGCTAGCCTTGAGCTGAAGAGCTGAGGGACAGCGCCCAGACCCAGAGTTCAGGCACCACAACTGGACCCCCCGCCCCCCCAAAAAAAGTGCCAGACAGCTACAAAGCCAAAAAGGACTTTGGGAAGAGAGTGAAGAGAAGACAATATGAAAGGAAATGTACTCATTATTTTACTCATGTAATCCTTCTGTACATCACTTTTTTTTATATATAGAATATTGGAGTCTTTATTATAGTTAACAGACTGCAGGCCACCAGTTGTTACAAAGACCTGCAGCACACAAATACACATAACACAGCTAAGAAACATGCTAAAGAGGAAAGAAGTAACACGAACAATACCAGCAAGCCAATTCAGCTCCAATGGAGAGCTGAACTGGGACTCCATGATGACTGGAGATGAGCCAGGAGCCAGGATGCAGGACGCCATCACAGAGACACCTGTGGCATGGGGTTGTACATCACGTTTAAAATAACAATATTTTGGGGCTGGGAAGGTGGCTCAGTGGTAGAGTGCTTGCCTTGCATGCCTGAGGCCCTGGGTTCAATTCCTCAGCACCACATAAACAAAAAGAAAAAAGCCGGAAGTGGCGCTGTGGCTCAAGTGGTAGAGTGCTAGCCTTGAGCTGAAGAGCTGAGGGACAGCGCCCAGGCCCAGAGTTCAGGCCCCACGACCGGACCCCAAAAAAAAACAAACAATATTTTTTTTTGTCTATTGCGGGGCTTGAACTCTGGGCGCTGTCCTTCAGCTCTTCAGCTCAAGGCTAGCACTCTACCACTTGAGCCACAGCACCACTTCTAGCTTTTTCTACTTATGTGGTGCTGAGGAATCGAACCCAGGGCCTCATGCATGCAAGGCAAGCACTCTACCACTGAGCCACCTTTCCAAAAGATGACCAAAAAAAAGGATTTGGAGCATGATTCAAGTGGCAGAGTGCTTGCCTAGAAAGCACAGGGTCCTTAGTTCAAAATGGAAGAAATAAATATCTGTTGTTTAGGCAGATGTTTTGAAGTCACCAGAAATTATTGGATGGATGAGAAATATTTCTCAGCATCCTTACAATTGTAGCAAATACCTTCTGTATGCACAATCTGCTCTCTCTCTGGTCCTGAATTAAGGTTGAAGGACTTGGGTGAATGTATGGGCCATGTCATTGTTCTGAATCTTCAGCCGGAACTCCCTTGGCTTTCTCCAATATAAATAAATAAGCACAAATCGGAAGTGCAGAAGTCTCTTCCAACCTTTGCTTCCTTCCTCAGTGTTCATTTTCTTTGTTTTGGTTTGGATTTTTTGGTGTTGTTCTTGAGGCTTTGAACTCAAGAGCCTAGCTTCTTTTTGCTCACGGCTATTACTCTACCACTTGAGCTATGGCTCCAACTTTCTGCTGTTTGGGTAGTTTAGTGGAGACAAGTCTCCCAGACTTTCTACCTGGGTTAGCTTTGAACCCCGACCCTCAGATCTCAGTCTCCTCAGGAGCTAGGATTACAGGTGTGAACCAGGGCGCCCAGCCTACCTCAGGGCTCACAGAGGCATCCCGCACTGGTGCCTCAGCGTGTGGCCTGGGTGTTTTCTAGCAGGGTAGATGTGGGCAGGGGACTGGACTTCTGTGCTTCCTCTACTGGCAAGTGTCCTGTAGAAGCTGCCGGCCCAGGGCCTACGTGCCCACCGTGGTGTACCTCAGCCGACCTTTTACACCCTCTTGTCCCTTTCCTGCCAGCATCTGCAATTGCTACCTTTGCCTTAAAAAACAAACAAACACAAAACAGTGTTCTTGACCTTTAGAAAGAAAATTGCACCTCACCTGATTCTGGAATGCTCTCTGGTTAATGTCTTACTTTTCCTCCTCAGGGCCAGCGATCTTGGCTGGCTTGTGGCTCCAGGAGGCACCTTCCTTTCTCTCCTGCCTTCCCTGCTGTGCCTAGAGATGCCCCTGCGGTCCTCACGACTCTCCGGCCGGGTCTTCCTGGCTTTGCCGTGTGACATTCCGCGGGAACTCCACATTGGAGGCACACCTCTCATGGTTTTGCCCTGAGCCAGCCTGGACCCATCTATGCCACTCCAGTAGCTGAACAAGTGCGTTACCACATCCTGCCTGTTGAGGTCTGGAACCACAGGACCCTCCCAATCTCTGTCTCCTGAAGTGTAAACTACCGCGGCCAGACCCCTGGTCAGCCTTGGGGATTCTTCCTTGCCCGCCTTCTCCTAGTTATTTCTTCCC